TATCGGTTTGATCTAAACAAAGGCACAAGAGGCGAATTGGGAGCTTTACAGAAAATAAAAGGCCACTGAAGCAATTCTGTACGAGAAGGAGAAACAAGCGGAGGCTCAAAAGGCGATGGCGAAGGCGACACTTTACTCCCGCCAACAAGTCGCCGACGGTGAGTTATATGCAAAACAGAAGGTAATGATTCTCTTTTCTTTTCTTTTTATTTTGACTGTAAATCAATGAAGTTTAATAAATAGGCTTAGATGGGTGTTTGGGTTTGGTTGTTTGACAGAAATTGATAGAGATGAAAAGAAGAACAACGAAAATTACGTTTTCTTTGTTTGTTTTGATAGAAACAGATGAAGGTATGGATATTTGGGTGTTGATGTTTTACAGTGAATCGATGGGTTTTTGTTTCTTGATCATCCATATCTCACAAAAAGATTTTATAATTATACATATTGATTTTACCGTGGAGTGTTGATTTTGTTTGAGTGTTAATCTTTGCTTGAGTGTTGAGGAGGTAGAATGGTTGCAATGGGAGGACCAATTGGAAAATTTTCTGAAGAACAGAGGCAAAGAAAGAAACACAATCCTAATTTTTGAATTTTTTGGTAATAATTTCTTGAAGGGTGTGCATGAATGGTTGTATTTATTTATGAATAGCATGTGTATTCATTTATGAATAACATTGTAGTTATGTGTGAATGGTTGTATTCATTTATGAATAGCATGTGTATTCATTTATGATAGAATGTGTATTAATTTATAAATAACAGTGTATTCATTTTGTGAATTGCAATGTATTCGTGTGTGAATGATTGTATTTATTTATGAATAGTTGTGTATTCATGTGAATGAGTGTATTTATTTATGATTAGAGGTATTCATTTTATGAAAAAATGATAATTTTTACACTATTTTTTATTTTCAATTTATGAAAAATGCATTGAATTATTTGTAATTTGATGTGTTTTCATTTATGATTGGAAGTGTATTGATTAGGGATTGGATTTCTATTCATCTAAAAAAAAATGTGAAATTGTAGAAAATAATATTTTTTTCTAAGATTTTCTTTTCAGATTTAAAATAAAAGGAAATATTAATTTTTTTAGGTAATTTTTTTAAAACGGTCATAAATAATTTTTGGGAAAAATCATAAAAAAAATATTTATATATATATTTCATTAAGTAAAAGGAAATATTAATTTTGTTAGATAATTAAAATCATTATCCCTAGATTTTAGGTAATCATTAATTAATATTTATATAAAGTTACTAATATACCCTTATAAAATGATTGGTCCAGAACTGATCTCGCGTTCTCAACCTTTTAGGTGTTCTCATTTGATCCTCTCCCTATATATATATATATATATATATATATATATATATATATATATATATATATAAGTATAAAAATACGTATAGAGTTTAAATCACGTAAACATGTATAAATTGTTCATCTAGCATAGATATCAGGAACACAGATAATTTGCACACATAGCACGTAACTTATTGAATACTTCATATCTATGTGTAAGATGAAAGTAACTATGCACTCAGTTGTTAAAGTGATGATTCCAAACTTGGGCAGCGCTTCGCTTCTAACAATTCTATTTTTATTCGACGATACCTAGTATCATTACTGCTAGATTTTAGTCTAATATTTACTGCGACTATTTACGAACAATATTTTTTTATAAAATTAAACAATATCTTTCAACCACTATGTACAGACAGGGGCCAGACAAAACACTGGAGGGGAAGATCATTTTGGCATTTAAGCACTTCTAAAATCCAACAACCCTATGCAACCCTTTAAACCAGGTTCCCCGTACCACTAGTAGTTAAAATATATTATAATAACACTTTTTGTACTATATATTATAATACATATATTGTTTATAAGTTCATAATAACGATATTGAATTTAAACATAAGTTATACTTAAAGTAGGGTAAACATAACTCACTTAGTAGGAGGTTTGGCTAGGAACCAAGCTCTGCAGGAGAAGAACTTCCCAACTGAAATCTATTCCTCTCGAAGCGTTATGGCGCTTTAGGACTCGCCTCTTAGCACTCGAAAAGTGCTAGGGAATAGGAGGGGCTAAGAGTGGTGCTTGAGAGAGAAAGAATGGGAAATGTGTGAGTTTTTGGGGGTGATTTGCGCATCTATTTATAGGCTGAGTCCGGTTAGAACACGGGGAGTTCCCTTACCGAACGTTGGACGTTCGTGGCCAGGTGTCCTCATCTGGTGCCAAACCATGGCGAGGAAGCAATGGCTTAGATCGTGCCACATGTCACTCGTTGGTTACTCTAAAAACTAATTATCTTCTAAAATTTGTAACTTTTGCATACGAACTCCATTTTTATGTATTTTATATTTATGTGTAGGTATTGACAGGATCTACAACTCTCATTTAGACTCCATTGGTTAATTTTAAATTTATTTTTAAAGGTATATTTTAACAGACTTAGACACTTAAAATTCGTTAAAAAATCATAATTTTTTCATCAAACGTCTGTTTTCGTCTGTCTTTATATCGTTGAGCTCCTATTAAAGAAATCTTTTATTCTCGTTTAGTTTGTGTCGGCTAAAAATCGGTCAATCTAAAATTCAATTTTCGGGTTGTGCACTGCTATGCTAAATCTTAGAAAAATCATAACTTCCTCATACGAAGTCAGATTTGGATGTTCTTTTTATGCATGCTCTCGGTTTAATGTACACTACGACTTTCTTTTAGATCACGAAGACTAAAAAGTGTTTTATCACAAACTCACTTTTTACGTCACACAACGTTGTGTTGGTTTTGTCGCGAAACTTCCACATGTCATAACTTCTTCGTTATAACTCGAATTTCAGCATTCTTTATATGTACGGAACCATTATGACATATACCATAACTTGGTTAAGATTATTTATTCTAAATAATATTCTATCAAAAAAGTCATTGTTGACACTTATTGTCTCTAAATAGACTAGCCCGAATCTGCAAGTGTTACAAGAAATTATGTTTCATCTTCTCCAATTAACTCCCCAATTGTTTACTATCCAAACAATCAAGAACAAACCTTAAAAAAATTCATATTGTTTCGTATATTATTAAAACCTCATATAGAAAATCAATATCAGTAATGAGCTCATAGAAAAAAAAAACCTACTTTGAAACCACCCTTTTCGATCTTCCCCCTTTTCTTTGCTGCCCAAACTCTGTCCTTGACATCCCATTTTGAAAGGGTGAAACCTGAAAATCGACTTCATGGTTTTGATTTCATGAAACCTACAAATCAACCCTTAGGAAATTAATGTCATGGAACCTGCAAATCAAAATCAAAATCAAAATCAATCAACATTCATATTCACTTCTTAAGCACATTATCCATATCTCCTTCATTTTCTCCGACGAGCCTAAAGAAATAAAACCAGAGTTCAAGGTCGAATAGATAGTAACCCAGATCTAGCGAAGGTCTGTATCTCTCAAATTTCTTCTTTCATGTTTTTTTCTTCATAATTTATGCTATTCGGTTTATGGTTTCATCTTTCCCATTTAGACGGAGATTTATGAACTAGCATTCGATTTAGATGTAAATTAATAAGATTCTAATATTCAACCTCTCTTTTTGTAATGAAATCTGAGCTTCTTCCTCCATAGTTAAAGTTCTCTCTAGTAAGCTCCGAAGCAGCTTAGAGCCTAAGGTATCAAGAACCATCATTATTTCACTGAAAATAACCCTCGCCACCACCACCACTTAATTTGTCTGTAAAATACTTCTAATCGAGGTTCTATGACAACTAACATTGACCCTAAGAAACACATAATTGAGCTTTTCATTGTGTAATTAGATATCAACAGTAGCAAATCATTTTCTGGAAGTGTGTGTGGAATTTGATTTGTAGGTGAAGAACGGGGATGACGATGATGAAGTGAGGTGTTTTTTCGTCTTTAGAACTGAAAATATCTTAGTAGGTGAAGAACGGGGGGGGGGGGGGGGGGGGGAGCTAGGACCCTTCTTTATTTGTTTTTACTTTTAAAATTTAAATAAAAGGGAATACGTTTAAGAAAATAGAAAAACAAATTAAAAGGGTATATTAGTCTTTTCAAGTTTAACAATGACTAATTCCACAAACAAACTATCTCAAAAGGACCATGAAACCAAAATGGGCGACGTTTGGAGTAAACCTCAGAAAAAAATGCATACCACGAGGACTATTTTTGTAGTTTTGTCATAGAAAAACTCTAAATTTTAGTTTTACCAACATTAGTTTAAGGATTTACAAAACATAAAAATATTAAGAAATTGCACAAAAATTATAAATAAATTTTTTACCAAATTTAAATACATATATGAAAAATCAAATATAAAAAATTTATCAGAGTAATATTTAAACTAACAATAGATTAACCGAGAAAAAATACCCTAACCTTGGTCAACTTTGGGATTCCCCGGTTAAACTGGTTGAGGGTTTCGGATTTCCCATCGGGTATGGGGTCTTTTGAATGCATCGTATGAAAATTTTAATAGAATTGTATGGAGAATATAATGATGATGTGGTTAATCATTGAAATTAAAAAAAAACTTAATTCATTTTGGATGCCATTAAAATATAGGTCCAAAATGTGTTTGGTCAATATTTTCATCTCATTTATTGCTTGTGTTGTTAACTTGTTTTAATGTAGTCAATTTGGCATTTTTGTCTACCATGTTGATATCCATTTTTTTTATAAAGTCTATGTTGTTGAGAAATATTGTATCAAAAAGTTTACATCTACACTCTTTGTTGACCTTGATGCTTGATAGTAAGTTGTGACGAATTTGACTACAATTTTACTCGTATTGGAACAATGAAATCCACTAACTCAAAGTAAGTGGTTCAAGTATTCGAGAGGACGAACTGACAAGTCCTTTAGGCAGTTCTTCAATTGTTTTGGTGTTTAATCAACTGAGTTATGACGGTATTTGTGACGCTTATATTGTGCCGATGCGTTATAATGATACCATGACTAACGTGGATTTAAGCTTGTTTGTATTAACACTTTGTATTAATAGTTAAAATATAATACACAAATGTATTGATTTCACTCAAAGGACTAAAAAGCAATCACATCTCTTCAAAAAGTGAACTTCAGAGGAGGATACATACTACTCAAATAGTTCAAGGGCAACCTCCAAGAGAGGGAATGGATTCCCAGAAAGCACACAAATAGCAACCTTCAGAAGCCTTTGTGCCCATTTCATACCTTCACTTGTTTGTTTTCCGTGCCTTACAACGACAATGGTGCTCATGTTATTGTTCCTTTCACCTTTCAAACAATTTTGAAGGGCATCTTTCATGCATGACACATGAACCTGCATGTCTTGGCTATCTAATGAATAACACCAACAATTGTCTTTGTGATCTTTCTTCCTTGGGGAGCAGTAAAAGCATTCACTTGTTAGTATCCTACGAAGCATAAACTTGGTCTCACCAACATCAACAATTTCTGTAAGCTTAAGACAACAAGGGTGCAGATCTTTGCTGGTTTTCTCACAGTGATAAAAGAACCCTTCAATGTCTGATCCACATGCGTCACAATATCTATCCTTGCTATCAAAACGTGTTTGATGGAATTTAAAGGTGGATCCATCTAAAAACTTGTGTGTAGTTATTCTTGTATAATACATGCAGTATGGATGGAGAATATACGAACAATGGCTGCATATGTATCTATCGCCAATTCCCAATTCTTTGCATCCACTGCATTTGTATGATGATATGTTGCCCTTTGTTAATGTCAGATTATGCTCGTGATAAATTTTACCATATCGTCTTAGTGAATTTGTTGCGTTGTGCCCTTCACCTTCAATGAATTACATCAATTCCAATCAAAACTTACTTCTTCAACAAGTAATAGCGTGCATGCAACTTTTTTAATGAAAAGTGTCAAGTTTTAACTAATTAACAAGTATACAAGATTAAGTTGTTAACTATTTTTTACCATGATTGATAGAGTTTTTCACTAATAAGTTCAATTTTATAATTTTCAATACTCTAGTAATATAGAAGTCTTATATATGTGATACTACATTATAATGTATGAGTAATTAACTATGACTACGTCAGGCACGTATCATCACATGATTAATATATAAATGAACGGAACTGATTTGTACACAATAATTTTTTTCCATACACAATAATTGATGCTTTAAAATATTGTATTGTACAACTCTATAATGCATAAATTGTTGTGTATGACAAAAAACTGTTGTGTACGAATCACTTCCATAAATTAATGATCAAGTTAATTAATAACTTACTTTTTTTTAAACCCAAAACTATCATATTCCTAATCGTAAACAAAACATATGTCTCTTCTCCTAATGAGACTAAAATCCATGACCTCTCATTTGAAAAAGTCATTTACCGCTAGGCCAAAAAGGTTATTTGGTAATTAATAAGTTACTTGAACCGGAGAAAAAGATAACATTAGCTTTTATTTATTTATGTATATTTATTTAATTATTTTATAAATCTTCTAGTTAACTAATCCTCTTATATTAAAGTATTACAACTTAATAATGCTATTAATTTGAGCAGTATTAGCAAATCCCTGTCATCATCGATTAATTTAGGATTTATAGTCTCTCTCAAGACTCAATATTATCAAAAAATATATATATCATGATCATAATTAAGTAATAACATATATTACCATTCTTACATTAAAGTATTACAACTTAATAATGCTATTAATTTAGTTAGGCTAGCTACTTTTCGATAATTAATCATTTCTAACGTAAGTTAATTTGCCTCAAGTGAAACCAAAAGACATCTTGGTAAATTTACCTGGTCGTGCATCAACCACAGTCCCTTGATTTTGATATCTGATAGTCATCTTCATCGTTTGACTCTTACTGTGTGTTGCTACATGGTTTGATGTAGAAGCCAAAGATCTATGTTGGTGGCCTTGTGTATTTACAGCGTTCAGTAGTTAAATATTCAGAATAAAGAATTTACAATATCTAAAGTCAAAAAATGAAACAATCAAGCATGCACATAATACCATGGTGCGAAGAAGGCTGTAAGGATGATCTTGGATTATGAGGAGGGATGAGTTCATATAAAAGGACGACTTTTCTTCTTGTCTTCTCCTCAAGTGCAAGTCTCACAGTTTCGGGAAGAAGGCGAGTAGACACAGTGACATGCCCATCCTTCTGATCGATTTTCACAAAATCATTACCGACTGCACCTGAAATCTTCTGTTCGTAGCCATAACAATTCTGGAAGCTAACAATCTCAAAAATAAAAGTCCTTTCGGGCCTCCGAAGGCTATTTATAAAAATCATTGCCATCGAATCAAACACGCCATATATATAGATGTTAGAAACGGATACGTGATAGATATATAGATGTTTATAATTTCTAGTAATAAGTTATAAAACTTAACAATTACCTCATGGTATTAACCGGAGATTGGTATTATGACAGAATGATGGTTCGGAGTTGTTGAATTATAACTTATAAGGAGGCTAGAGTCATAAACTACAAAAGTAGTTCTTCGAAAAATCATATATATATATATATATATATATATATATATATATATATATATATATATATATATATATATATATATATATATATATATATATATATATATATATTTTCATTTAGTATAGGCATTAGTTAATTCCCTACAAGTTCCCTAAAATTTAATACGCAAGTCCATGTTTTATCTGGAATTAAACCTAACGTAAATAGTCAAATAGTATTTGTGAAATATTATTTTATGGTTTTTCATGGTCATCATTATCTTTAATTTATTCATAATAAGTATATGAAATGAAACAAAAAAACCGAAAATTAAACAAAAAATCGAAATTGTTAAAGACCTGTACGTTATTCATTATTTTCAAAAAGTGCATTGTTTGTCATCCAGTTTTGACAATTTGCATGAACAAACAATGACCTGGAAAGAGTTGGTGTGCCATAAAAATATATTGTTTTAAAATGCGGTTGCTATTATTTATACACACTGTTTAATTATTATACGTCTCCTTAATTTAACAAAAACGTTAAATCAAGCATGTATAATAAGTAATTTAATGTAATAAAAAAAATTAAATGAAGTGAATATTTTAGGGTAAATTACACCAATGGTCCCTCGTGGGCATGTCAGAAGGCGTGTTTGGTCCCTATTTAAAAAAATTCACTCGGACCGTCCCTGAATTTCTTTTTTCTTGCACGCTTAGTCCCTATTGACATGAAATGACTATTTTACCCTTAATAATTTCTTTTTTCATTTTCTTTTATTCATTTATCAGTTTTAGATTATAAAATAAATTTAAAAAAAAATCATATATATCCACCCCTCCCCTCCCTTTCTCTTTCCCTTCTCCTTCTAACTTTCTTGGACCAGAACCACCGTCTACCACCACCGACTACCACCGGAAACCACTCGTCCTCCTCCTTTTTCGACAAGATTAACTAGCCAAAATTCGTTTGTTTTCCCCTCCTTCATATCACCATCATCCAACTCAAACAACCATTGATGAACATACCTGATTTTCAAACATCAAATATTCAACCCAAAACTTGCATTCTAATCTGAAAATCAAACCCCTCATGAATCTCAAACCCATTTAGATCTACATTTATATTTGAAACTCAAACCCATATCAGAAACTCGAACATCAGAAACTCGAACATCAGAAACCACATCATCTCATCATCACAACCCACCCCCATCGCATCACCCTTCTTCGCCTTGTCTGCCGTCGGATGCCTCACCGGAGATATTATCGCCATTTGATTGCTCCATCGAAGCAGCATGCCTCGCATCCCACTCCATCGCTGCACCCACCGAGACCGACGAAACCCTTCTTGCCTCTTCCCCTCGCACCTTTCCCTTCTTCTTGTCGAGCTCCCTTGCCAAACCCTCTCGCCTGCATTGCTGATTGCTGCTCGCGACCACCCCTCCCCTTCCCCCTTGGCACCTCACTACCAGAGGAGAAAGAGCGCGGCCCCGCTGATTCTTCCCATCTTCTTTCTTCGGTCTCGTCGACCCCAGGAGACGCTCCCTTCTTGCGATTGATCGACAAAACCTCAGATTAACTGCCTGCGAGCCTCCGTGATTTCTTTCCGGCTGTCGTTCGTTGGTGTTCTACTTTCGATCATCCTGTCTATTTTCCCGATCAGACAAAAGACGGGGCACAAAGAGATTTGCACCTGCACACTAAACCCTAGGTGCCTCTCGTTGTTCCAACGAGACGATAACGGATCTTCACCCTGGTTCAAGGGTACCAGATATGCACTTCTCCTTAACCTTCTCCTTACTGTTCAGATCTACACTCCTGGTTGGATCCTTCGTATGAAGAAACGCAGGATGAAAAACAAGTGCTTGAAAAGATTTAGAAGATTAAATTGGAGCTTGGTCAGATTATTGGTAGTGGTGGTGTGGATTACCGATGGTGGTGGTGGTCAAGTATTTTTCAACAACATATAAAAATAATTATAATACTTTTTAATAATTAAATTGATAAAAATAAATGAAAATGAAATTGAAAAGGGCATTATAGTCCTTTCATGTCCCACAAGGGATAAGACGTGCAAAGTTCAACTAACGAGGGATGAAGTGTGATACTTTTAACGACATAAGGGACGGTCCGAGTTAATTTTTGAAAATAGGGACTAAGTACGCTTTCTGGCATATACACGAGGGACGATTGGTGTAATTTACCCAATATTTTATTAATGGAGTATATGAATAGAATCACCCTAAACTATATGTATACAAGCAAAACTAAGCCGCGAGAAGAAATTATCGGGGCGTTATAAAGAGACGTACAAGAAAAAATTATTACTGCGAAAATAATTTCTAAATTTAATAACACAATATTATCTTGCTATTTTAACTAAAAAAAAGTTTAATTAGATTAAGGTGTGGCCAGGAAACCGTGTAGACTATTAAGTATGAACAGCTATATACTATATCTTAGGGGAACAGAATAGTTTAGAAGCGTAGCTTCCAAGAAGCCTTCCACACGACCAAAAGGAAGTGAGTCCACGCATATATATTTATTTATCAACAATCAACAACAATGTGTTTGCTCTTTTTTAGTTTTTTTATAATTAGTGAAGATTCTGAAGCATAGCGTTTGCAACGGGATTTAGTATTTTTTGGGCTAACCTCAAACCATGTTACTAATTTTCCAATACTCATATACAAAATCGACATCATTCTCACAAATTAGCTAAAAAACATTAATTAAAAGGGTTGTAAATAATTATTAGAACATAATACAATATGTTATCTCTAATGATTTGTCTTTGAATCCCAACAACACCACCGTTATCCAAAACACAAGTTCTAATCATGGCATGAGGAGGCTTAATATCTGGTCCAAGCACACTGCCCCTATTAGCAAAGTTTGCTAGAATTATTCTACTACGACTGGACTGGGTAGATTATTTAAATAATAATATATAATAAACAAATAAATTATTGAAGGGCGGAAATAAATAAATAAATAAATAAATATATAAATTATTGAAGGGCGGAAAAGTCATTTGTCGCTTAATGGGGACTGTAACTGCATTAGAAGGTGCAAATCACACTCAGAGAAATGATATGAGGATTTTACCTGACTTTTCTCGATGAATATAAGGCATCTATAGTTTATAGCATAGTTGTCAAAATCGCGATCCTGATCGTAGGATCGTACGATCCTACGATCCTAGGTATGAAAAACGATCCGGATCGTAAAAGGATCGTATTTGGGGTAGGATCGCAGGTAAGATCGTAAGATCGTAGGTAGGATCGTAGGATCGAGATCCGATCCGATCCTACCTTCCTTTGATTTTTTTTTTTTTTTTTTTTTTTTTTTTGCAAATGAAATTTTTTTTACCACTTTATGTCTTTTATCCTTTACCAATCTACCATTTATCATTTTTTATTGTGATTTATGACTAATATTTTGAAGTTTTTATAACTTTTGAATGAAAAAACTAAATGTTTGAAATAGTTTTCATGATTAAATATTATAAATTAAAATTATATTCTATTTTGTGGGATCTTAAGATCTTGATCCCGATCTTGCAAACCCAAAATCGATCCTAAGTAGGATCCCGATCTTGACAACCTTGGTTTATAGTCATTCAAATTTACAGCTCATTACATCCAATCACAGTTGGATTTAACAAAAGAAAATTACAATTCAGTCGATTATTGGTCAAAACGATCAGTTCTATTTGTGGTGATAGTTTGTTGAACTTTGTTTTAAAAAAAAAAATAATTACACATGAATAAGTTTAGCAAAGATAATAAAGAACGTTAAAATCAATAGCTCTTGTTGAAATAAGGAACATATTAACCATTAATCAAATAAAATTAAAGGAAAACAAAACACACGATGTAATAAGTGGTACCATTTCTTCAGTAACCCAAACTACTACATCACAATGTACTTTGAAGACCTGATTATTGTTAAAAAAATAATAATAAAAAATCAACATTTAATAAGCACTTAACGCAAAGGATAAAACAATCATTTACCAAAAATTACAACTTCATCTATGGGATTGGCAGCCATCAAGCACTTGACTGAAAACCTATGTTTCCATGATAAAATACCATGAACTCAGGTTGTGGATGATGAAATCGATTTTAGTTTATATTATAAAAATATTATTTAATCATATATGATTTACGTGGACAAAAATTGTTTTTGCGTGCTCGGTTCAAATGTTCTTCTCATGGATTTAATCACATGTGATTATACGCATCTAATTACCTATAATTTATGGGGACAAGATTCGTTTTCCCATTCTTGATTCAATAGTTTTTATCGTGTATTTAATCACATGCGAATTACAAGACAAGATTCATTTTCGTGTTCTTGATTTGGTAGGTATTCTCATGTATTTAATATCATGTCATTATATGTATTTAATGACATATGATTTATGTGGATGATATTCATTTTCGTGTTTTCTATTCAATAATATTTCTTATGTATTTAATCGCAGGTGATTATATGTATTTAAGCTCACGTGATTAAACCTTGTTATCATGCTTTTCACCTGAAAATGCAAAAACACAATAAGCCAAATATTTACATACAGTTAATCAAACAGTTGTTGTGAAGCTAGTAACATATATGATTATATGTATTTAACCATATATGATTTATGTGTACATGATTTATTTTTCACATTTTCGATTCAATATTGGGTCCCGTGTGTCTAATCGTTTGTGATTTTATGTATTTTATCACATGTGGTTAATCCCTGTGATCATATTCATCATCTGGAAACCCTTAAACACAATAAGTAAAACCATTGCAGTCATTTCATCAAACACATGTTATGCAAGCAATAAAACAAAGTTAAATCTATCTATTAGAGGTATTCAGGAAAAATGACATAGATCTTTATAGGAAACCTTTTAGAATCACTTAATTGATTTATGGACTTTTTTTACTTTAGATTTGGTACTTTTTGCTTCAGATCTAGAACTTTTTTCTTCAAATCTAGCAAACAGATACGGTTCAGGA